TGTTATATTTGAAAAAATTGAAAAAACAAACGATGAAAATGATCCATTTATTAGCGTAGTTAGTGTATGGTATGATAACGTCTGCAGTTTTATGTATATTAATCCTGAATTTGAAATATCCACTATAATTATTCATATTAATCATTATATGATGCGTAACTATGTAATGACTAGTCAGTATAAATTCTATTTAAATCAACTTCATCAATCACCGTTATCACAGTCCATATTTACTGCTAAACAGTTATTTTATATAAAAACATGTTCATTACTTATAAGTGCATATTTATATACAAAAACTCAAGATTTTCCTTATACTCTTGAAGAATTAATTCAGCATTTTGGTGCTGATATCACACAAATAATCATTCTTCATACCTATACTATAGAATCATGGAACGCAGAGTTACTGAGTTGTATTACAAGTCTTAGTGCCCTTTTTTCTACTTGTTATTGGTGGGGAGGAGAGAAAGAATCACAAGCCAAAATAGTTTTTCCAACTGAATCAGCAACCTGTGAATATATCGATGCACTCATTCGTATAATTGACTATAAGCCGATTTCTCAATCTATTGAGATAAAACGAACAAATGATCTAACGATTCTTTTAGAGATAACTTTATTTCGAATACTAAATATAGCACAAAATGGCAATTTTCTTTGGTTTCTACGTTCAAAGACTTCGCTACCCGATACACTTTTAACCATTGCTAAAACATCACCTTGTGATAAAATACGCCTATCTATATATGCAATACTTGGTGAAATTCTATGTGATAAAAGTTTGAAAGAGTTGGAAATATCCGATAGTGCCAGTAGTTTTTTCTTTAATGCATTTGAACAAGCATGGGAACGTCCATCAAAAAAGTTTCAACAAGTACCATTATTGCTTCTACTAAAATGTAAGTGATTAGTAATAGATGTTAAAATTTCATTAGTAAATATTCTTTTTTCAGGTTTGATGAATTTTTCTAAAATCGATGCTTTTCAACAGCAAATAGCTAATACAAATAAAGTATTACTTTTGATTGAAATGTGTGATCAATATCCAATAGTATATGATATTCTATGGGCACTCTCATTCAATCATGATATTCAACAACAACTTCATTCAAATACATCATTTATAACAAAATTAACTCATCTACCGAAAGAATATGATAATCAAATACGAAAAAGTGCACATGGAATATTATGGAACTTAAAAATAAGCCATGAAGATCGTACAACATTAGCAGTTAGTAATGAAAAAACTTTTGACATTATGATTAGTTATTCACATAAAAATGAAACCATTTGTAAACAAATTTATAATGAACTTATCAATAGTGGTTATCGTGTATGGATTGATTTTGATCAAATACATGGTAATGTTATGGATGCAATGGCAGAAGCTATTGAACAATCAAATACAGTTCTAATTTGTATGAGTGAAGAATATCGAAGAAGTAGTTATTGTCGAGCAGAAGCAAATTATGCGTTTCAACGTCAAACTAGAATTGTTCCTGTTCTTTTACAACAACACTATAGACCTGATGGTTGGTTATTATTTCTTGTTGGTCAATTACTTTATATAGATTTTACCAAATATGAGTTTTCACAAGCGATCAATATGTTAATCAAAGAGTTGAAAGCTCCAGTCATCAGTGGTATATGTTCTGTAAATTTTCATCCGGAAGAAGTTAATACCATCATTCTTACTACACCTACATCACCAGAAACATCCTCTGCGTTGATAATTCCGAAAAATATACTTGATTGGAATCAAACACATGTGCATGATTGGTTAATTAGTCATGGTTTATTGCAAATGTCTCGTTTATTTGCTAATTTTAATGGTCGAAGTTTGATGTATATGAGTGAAGCCATAGAAAATGTTGAGTTTCAACAAGTTGTATCTCTATTACAAGATGACTCTCGTCGACAAACAAGTCAAAGTTTATCATTAGTTGAATTATCTCATTTTCGATCTCTATTGTATCAACAAAAACAATCTTCGGTATCGACCATCGTTGCCGAACCTACAAAACTGAAAGTTGAGGAATTAGAAAGAAAATCTTTTTTTTATTGTCAAATAGTTTAATAATTTTACACATTTATTAGAGATGTATCTTTATGAATATTGAGTTAGTTCCTCTGATGTTACAAGTATACATTAAAATAAACAAATCAATAAAACAAACTCTCATATAATATGAAACTATTAGTATCATAACAGGAATATGATTTATGTTCAGTAAATGAAAATAATTATTAAATCAAGAGAGCAATGATGGATAAGCAAATTAATAATTACTTGGGTTTGCAAAGAAATGTAAAATTCGATGAATATAATTCATTGATAGTCGATCATAACGAATTGTTCGTATAAAAATTGACTTGGTTATGATGTGAATCACCTAGGTCAAAGAATCTGACTAAAAGATCTTCTATGAGCGTAAAAGATCGTACGAAAATCTTATAAGATCTTGTAAGACATTATGTGTTAATCTTAAAGCCAGCATTTTGGATAAAATCATACAGTATAATGCTTGTATGGTTTTATTGTAAGGTATTCAAACATTCATCTAAGGTTTCACAGATGTTTCGAATATATTTTATAGTTCAATTTCTTGCTCTATTGCTTCTCACGCTCTCTGCTAGTTTTTACTACCATATCATGCCATTTTTCTCTATATCCAGTTCTTCTCCAGGAAAACTGAGGACACTATATACTCACTTGCTGTATTAGTTATCCTTAATCGTGCTGTTCAGTTGAATCTAAATGAGGAAAAATTATGTATTTAATAAAATTTATACTTTGCTTTTGACGATGTTGTTCAGACTAATCTAAATAAAAACAATAGTTCACTTATATAGATATCATGCATTACCCTTGAGCATATGAGTTCGATCTAATTTCAACAGTAGTTTACTTATTTAATTAATAGTTATTTATGACCATTGTTCTGAGTCGCATTGTTTGGTCAAATGCACTCATATGAAGTGTTAGAAGAAAAGTTAATTTTTGTTTTGAGTTGTTCTATGTTATGATATTTTGGAAGAATTGACTCTAAGAAAGCAATTTATTTTAAGGAAACTTCAGTTTTATGCCTTTCAAAATTACTATTAATTCTTCTGGAATCAAACAGCTTTCTCTTTTTCAGTCTATCATAATATTCAACAAAAATCTCGTTCAAGTTGTCTATTGATATCAATATTTTCTTATCCACCAAGAGAATGTAATAATCAACTAATACAAAACTTTACACATGGAATATGATGAAATCTAGAATTAAATCATTGAAATCCATCCGTAAAAAAGTCATCAATGCAAAAACTATGAAATTATGATTAGTTCTTCACATAAAGAGAAGATCATTTGTAGACAATTCTATGGAGAATTCGTCAAAACTGACTATTGTATTTGAATTGATTGTAATCGAATTCGTAATACTGGAACTAAATATAAATTCTTTTAAGTTATGGGAATGCTATTGATAGAATTGAATGGGAGCGTCAGTTCTATTTGCAATAAGTGAGATAACTATTCAATATACACAAGAAAATAACTTTGCATCTCTTATTTCTTGAGCATAATTTTCTATGGATGTTTTATGTAGTTTTATTTTTCATGATCAAAGTCTAATCTATCTAAATCAGTTCATAAAGAAAATAGCAAAAACATGAGGAAGTTTATCCTTATCTAAAGAAGATTCACCTTAATATACGAATAAAAATTTATTATTAGCCAAAATGTTTTAATTTTGATCTTTGATAGGCTAAGAGAAAGGAAAGATTATCGGATCAACAATGGCTTCGCAACTGATAAAAACGAATAATAACAGAAGCAGAAAAAAGAATTCATATAATGTATTGTCGAACTATGTATTTTTTATATTGCTTTTTCTACAAATTGCAGGCATCATTTAAATTTGATGGTTCATGAGACTGAGAAAATCTCGAACGTCATTGAATGTTCATATTGTATTGAGTTACCTTTGGAAGCAATGGATAATTGGAAACCATATCTGTTCAAATATTAAAATACATCTATTTCTATATCAATGTTACATTTCATTTCATCAACTTATGGATACATCCTTCTTTGCAATTGAAAAAACAATATCAAGTTACAGAAATATTTTCTCTGATCGTGCTCATTTTCAAAATAAATAATAGTCTTAAAAAAATTTACTGTTTGCCTATACACAAAACTTATTAAATTTTTCGATAAAATTGTTTTTGTTTTTTATTGCCATCAATATGAATTATTTTTGTAATTTAATCAGTAAAATCGAACTTTAACGCAGCAATATATACACATGTATTTTATTTAATACAAAAAGAAATTAATCAAAAAAACGTATCAATGATCTTTCTTTATAATACGTGTTAACTGTTCATCCTAGTGAGAATCATCTTCAGACACATGATATACAAGGAATTTTAATTTCATAACCACTATTAACAGTGATTCTCATTAAGATTGAAAAATTATATACGTACTAGAAAAGATTCTGTATAAGCTTTTTTTCTATTAATTACTTTTTTCTAGCAAAGAAAATAAATATATTATATTCCTGCATTAAAATTCGTTGTCATCCCTTGCTTGTCTTAAGTTATTTATCAATATATGAGTCCTATTAAAAGCTTGCTACAACGTTAAAGCAACTAAATTGCTTGCTATTACTGAGTATAAAGTAGCTATCAACATTGTGTTACCTATTTTTATTTACCTGCCTCGTGATTGTAACCTTTAATCATTAATGGCAAACACAATAAAAAAACAAAACGAATACATGTCGATAATAAACAACATGCATGCATGCATACCTGATCAGTGATTAGAACAAAAAGTAGATGTGCGCAATAGAAAAACATATTGCAAACACTAATAATGGAAAACAATTTTGAACAACTTATTACTACACTT